CAGACTGGGGAGGGAGAACCCCACGGCCTTCCTACCACAGCTCAGTGCATCTGGAGCTCAGGAGGGAATGAATTCTGGGGCTGGTCTAGCGGTTCTCACTCTTCCTTTGGCACAATGGCATCTGAGCTCAGAGTGACACGAATGTGGCTCTTCCTTTGTTTTGTTTTGGGTCGTCTGAGGCTGGCTTCTGTCTCCATTTCCCCAGCAAAAGGAGGACAATTACTTGGCCACGAGTAATTGCACTGCCACCTCGAGCCAGCACACCTCCCCCAGGGACATCCCGAGCAGAATAAAATGGGTCCGGAGCAGGGAGCACCTCCGTCTCATGGGCTGGCCCACCGGGTGGGGTTGGCACGCTGGGCGGAGGGCGCCATTCTGCTTTCCTCCAAACCCTTATGGGGCTGCGACTCGCTCGTGAAACATTCAGTGTCAACACACAGAAATCAAAGCCTAAGGGAAGGCGCGGAGGACGCTGGGGAGGGGCTGCTCAGCAGTTGAGAGAGGAACTGGTTCGCGCACTCAACTGACATGCTGTGGGAGGCCGTGGTGGCCTTGCCCCAGACGTCAGGAACGGCGCTACGCCAGCGAGGACGGGGGACGAAGTGAGCGTGGAGCTCCCTGAACCCCTGGAGCTGCCCCTCTGTGCTGTGGCTCTTGCACGAGGCCACCGTGATGTGACTGGCAGACGTGTGTCTTCCTGACCCTGGTAGGGCTTCTCCAAGTTTGTCGTCAGACCCTGGGGGCCTCCGCGTCCCTCCTTCCCCACCGTAATGTCCTGTGCTCGGGGTTTGGTACAGGTGGATTCTCAGGCCCCTGACGCCACAGATGGCCCCGTGACCCACGCCGGCGGCGAGATGATGCCACATCCCGGCTACTGTGCTCAGCTGACTAATGACCCCGTCCGAATGGCACACCCCGATGCCCAGAAGCTGTGAACATGTCACCTCACGCGGCAGAAGGGACTTTGCAGGTGTGATTAAGTTCAGGGCCGTGACGTGGGGAGATTAGCCTGTGCTTTCTGGCAGGTCCCATGAACCACGGGGACCCTTGTGGGGGCAGGAGGGTCCGACTCGGAGAGAGATTTGACGATGCTGCTCTGATGGGTCACGAAGGAGCCACGAGCCACGAGCGGGCGCCTTAGAAGCTGCAGAAGCAAGAGAGCGCATTGTCCCCGGAGCCCCCGTGGGAGGGTGGCTGTGCCAACACGGAGACCGAGCCCGGTGAAGCCCAGTGAAGACTCGGGGCCTCCAGGACCGAAAGACGATAAAGTCGCATTGTTTTAAGTCACTAAGATTGTGATAACTTGTCACGGGCACGCTTGACCCTCAGTCAAGGTGCAGGCGTGTGACACAAGCCAAGGTCCACGGAGACACCTGTAACAAGGAGCTATTGTTGGCCTCGAGAGAAGCTTCCGGCGTGGGTTTTATTTTCCCCTGATGCATGCGTGTAAAAGACAGTTGTAGACCTACTACGCCCCAAACGTTATTTCTGGCCAGAGAAGTTTCCCGATGCTTTCAAACTCGGAGGCCTCCTGTATCTCCAGTGCACGAGAGGGGCCAGAAGGAGCAGAGCGGGCAGAGCCGGGTCCGGGAACCTCCAGTTAAATCGAGGGTCCACCCCACGTGGGCCCAACGCCTTGGCACGGTCTCCTCGCCTTCAGAAGCCACCCCTGGCTTGTGTCATTGGTGAGAAACACGAACGCTTGTGACTTTCAAGTACACATCAGGGGGAAAATTCTAACATTTTCATTTACCGGCGGCCATAAGCAGCGCGAGGCCCAAGCTTCTGCTGAGTAGCACCCCGACTTAAACGTGGATTTAAACGCGTTAACATGTGTTTCTACATGTTAACGGGCCCAGGGCACTTTCCCTGACTCTGGGGCCCTCGGAGCCTGACTGTGCGCTCACACGCGTAATTCCAGCAATCGCGGAATTCCAGGTGCTTTTAAAATTGAAGGGGGCTGCGGAGAATTTGGTTCAATCCCCACTCAGAAAAAAAAAGAGTCGTTTTTAATAGCTGGAGGAAGCGGCTAAAAAGAAGCACCGAGAGAAGACATAAAATCACGAACTCTTCCGCCCGAGAAAACCCCGCAGCAACCGCACTTCCGGTGCCCCGAACCCCGGAAGCCATCCTCCCCCTCCTACCTTCGTGTCCCCTGGGAAGAGACGTGGCATCTGTGGCCCCTCGAGAGGGTTGTGATGATTCAGCAATCGCTGGTCTTGCTTGGTGACATGTTCTCTTCCTATTAAAAAGAGAGAGAGAGAGAAGATTCCAAAAGATTTTAAGGCAAGAGTGGGAACCTCTAGGCCAAACCAGAGCTGCAGAAACAAAGAACCACGTGAAAGCCACCTGCAGCACAACCTGCCAGCCACCTCGCCAGCCCTGCCCCTCAGGGGATGCGGCTCCGTGCAGCCGGGTCCCCCATTAACTGGAGCTTCGCAGAACACATCGTCCACAAACACACGGCGCCTGTAAAACAGAAATCACAAACCTCTCTGCCTTCTGAAGCCAGGATGCGAGGTGTAAGCTGGCCTCTTCTTGGTGGCTTGGGCTGTCACCATACACAACAATCGCACTGTGCTGTAACAGTGACGACCTCGGGGGGCCTGGCATCCGGGCCCTGTTGCAGCCTGAACTGGCCCTGGCCAGCTCGCTGTCCCTTAGTTGTTACATCGCCTTTCCTCCTTCCCTGTACGTACCCGTACTGTCATTTCAGAGCTCGCGACCCTCGGGATCCGTCCTGCTCAGGACGACCTCCCTGAGGCCTCTGTCTGGGGAAGAGTTGGAGGGAGCCGGAACCCCTGGGCAGAGCTGCCCCCAACCCTGAGGGGGGAGGGAGCTGACAAGGGGAGGAGGGCCCAGCTGTCCTGGCCCGGCCAAGGCAAGGCGGGAAG